ATATTCTGTATGTATTTTATATTCTTTATGTATTTTATATTCTTTATTCCTGTTGTCTTTGTTCTTACTGTAAAGTGTCCTTGGGTGTCATGAAAGGCGCTTTTTAAATAAAATGATTATTATTATATTATTATTATTACCTGTGAAATACATATTTATGTTAAGTCATCTTACATTTACCGTTATATTCTACCATGGTGTTTACGATATTTCTTTTGAACCTTATAAATATTTTATTTCTTTTCACTTTTAGTACTTTATTTTGTTCTTTTATTGCATGCTTTAATATTTCTTGTTTTTAGTCAAATCAGTTCTTCTCATCCTGAACATTTCATTGCACTGTTGACCTTGTGTTAACCTGCATATGACAAATAAACAATAAACTAAACATATAGTCCTTATTTAACAAATGTTGCTTATAAAAAGGGATTGATTTGGCCTAATAAAAATGTGTTGGGTGTTTTTCAGTGGATATGGGTAAGGTTTTATCTTATTTTTAGAAAGCTCTATGAACTACCATTTCTGACAGATCTTATGAGTTAACGACTGAATGCAGCTTAAACCATCATGGATTGCTGCCAATTTAGAACAGCTCCACTTTCCAATAATTCATAGGAATTCAAGAAAACAATATTTTGTGAACCTTAAACTGCCTTCAGTTTCTCATTACTCACTGGGTAGGTGCCCTATAAGTACATGGTGTGTACTGTGTGCACAGCTCCTCCCTCTGTGAATGAGCCCGTTAGATAAGTAGCCTCTCGGAGTTTTGCCCTTCTGTCACTACATCTGGCTGCAGCGCTGACAGGAAGGCAGCCAGCAGAACATCTGTCTGCTCGACCTGATGTAGAGAAAGCCTGCGGCTCATAATACGGTTTGACCATCACATGATGTGTAACAGTGTTTCACGTGTTGGTGTTAGTAATCCAGCCTCTGGGCATGATTTTACGAGGACTCCCTCTGCTGGGATTATTAGCTTCTTTATAAAGCAAATGAAGTCCTCGTCTTCCCAGCTGGCAGAGCCTGACTAACCTCCGTCTCTCATGGGACTGCTTATGTTGAGGTAAAGGTAAAAACAAGAAGTGCTTTTCTGTGAGCACTTGTGAATTGTAACTGTGTTAACTGGACTATGACGACATTGTTTTGTCTTTTCAGGACATTCTGGATGAAATGAGAAAGGAGCTGTCAAAACTAAAAGAAGAGCTTATCGATGGTAATTATCAGTGCAACATGACCAGCAGTCAGCCACCTGCAGACTAATCAGCAGGTGTTCCTGTCAAACACAACATCAGTGATTAGTTATTCTCTGAATCCTTTCCTTTCTTCTTCCTATATCCAAATGTTTGAGAGCAGGTAGAAAGCAAGAGGTGCCATAACACATACAACAGAACATGTGTTTACAGAGTCCAGTCCAGACCGTCATGTGTTTCACTTATGATGCCTCATCTTTGCCTTTTACATTTCGATTACAGTAATTAGCCATAACATTATGACCATCTGACACTGGGTTGATGCACTTACAAAAGCAGAGCTAAACCATGGTGGATTCATTTTACTAGATTAAACAATTAAAACATATACAGTAAAAGACCGTTTGGTTTTTTTGAGGAAACTTTTTGAAACTGCAGAAAAGATCGTTGTGGAAATTTGTTTCCATGTTGACTATTTATATACTGGACCCTGTGTCCCCACCTCAGGAGTCAGAGCTGCCACGTTGGGACCAGAGTGTGCACAAGGAATGTAGAGCTTTTAATCCTCCTCCCACCACACAGTCATGGTGTCACACAACTTTAGGCCTGACATAATTATGCTTCAATGTATTTGAAAAAGTAATAATAATCCAGCAGAAAACAAGGAATAATGTGAATCAACAAGTCATCGTCTTAACACAACTATATGAAGGGATTTAGTTTAATTTTACCAAGAACAAAGTCTTGTTTGTTTACATGGAGGGGCATGACTTTATTACTGGGACCATCATGTAGGGAAGCTGGCTTTAACTTCCAGTTTCCTGTTTGGAGTTTAGTATTTTCAACAGCTGCTTATGATGGGACAAAAGGCCTTGGTTCCAAACAGGAGAACCATGAAGTTCTTACAACACCCACAGAAGTAATGCTGGACATTACCTGAGCCTTCAGTGAGACCCTGGAGGACATTACTTGGTTTTAAACAACTCGTCACACAGAAATGTCACAGTCTTAGTCTGGACTGAGTAACTTACCTTTGTGCATGCTCTTTGTTTCATTTGTAGCAATCAGGGAGGAGTTGGGCAAGTCCAGCACAGCGTAGAAGATCCAGACTCCCTGTTCCAACATCTGCATCCACGTGACCAGACAGACAACCACGGTCCAATCAACCCCACTGACGAAACGATGGAGACAGTTACCATGACAACAAGCATTTTATCCCACACAGAAAGCTGTATTATGAGAGTGTGCAGCAGGACGGTGGCAGGTGGCTGCGATTTACAGAACTCACTTTGCAAACCTTGTGCCCCCCACCCCCCCGTCCTGCTGCTGGAGGACGGTGCAGAGTCTGACAGAGAGAAGTCTTTATGCAAACACAGTTTCTCTGCTTGTCCTTCAGTCAGAAAGAAAACCCAACATCCAGAACTCACCTCCGATAACATCTGAACCGGAAACCAACAGGTCGACCCGACGCAGCAGAACTCGTGATTTTTCTATCAGATGTTTGATGACGCGAGCTTGAAGACACAAAGGAAAGCGAACGTTAAAAACATTTTCCCCCACAATGCCATTGGGGTACTGCGTGCATGTGTGTGTGTGAGAGAGAGTGTGTGTGTGAGGGACTGCCAGTCTGCTGTAGTCCACCACTGCAGGACGCTGGAAAGCTTGTCTTCCTTAAATCCTATCTGAACCTGACTATGTACAAAGAGAGAGAAAGTATCTATCAGCCACATCTGTATCAGTGTGAGCCCACAGTCCGGCCACATCAAGTAGCTCAGTACTCCAGTCTTTAAGAGGACGCTGTCATGTCTGTCCTCGTCTTTTGTCTGAAGTGAGACTTTTTCCAATCTTTCTTCTTTTAGTGCCGTTTGATGAAAGTGGAAGGGAAGCTGCCTGCTGTTGTAGCTCTTCTCTCAGCCAGCCTCAGCCGGGCGTGACAGCTGTTCATGTCTCCGTGTTTTCAGCGTGGTCTTTAGGATGTCCTGTTCTGTCACATGTAGGTGCTCAGTTAAGAACTTCTAAGTGGTGATTGTTTTTTTCTGTATCAAGGGTCTGCCACGAAACTGCATTAACTGTCGCAAGTTTTCTTGTAAGCAATAAGTGTAGCATCTCCTGTGAGGCTGGCCTGTGCCATCCGAACCCCAGCACACCCGTGCAGCGCCCGTCTGAACTGAAGGCTGCTGAGAAACACAACACTACAAGACCGGATTCTAAATTACAACTTTTTTTATATACAATTCAAGGATAATCTTTCTTGAGACACATTTTTTTATTTTCTTTTTTCAAAAATTCATAAAAGTCATGAAAGGTGCACCAAACAGCCCAAACGTGTACTAAATGGTGTCCATGCAAGACATGAACGTGCCATTCTCTCTTACACCCGTGCTCACTTTGTTTCATCCCGTTTTGTCGTTTGTTTGCCTTTTCCTTCTGCTGCTGCGTTTCCCCTGACCATTCATCTGCAACGGGTCTGATGGCCTTCCAGTTCAGTGCAGACGTCGTTTCACTCAGAGCTTGAAGTTCAGTCAGCTGGAGAGGGGCTCGTGTCCGAACACTGAAGAACGCAGGTCAAAGTCCAGGTCTGAACTCTGGTGGTCTGAATGAGATCATGTCGAGGAACCGTTTCTCAAATACAGTGACATCTTCTCAGCGTCTTACAGACGTGTCTGTACATGCATGCATGTACAGACGTGTCTGTACAGATGTACGTCACAGTGTCGTCTGCAAAGAAAAGCTCAGATTATGCAGGTGATGACAGGGTTAGGAGGCTTTTATTTCATAAAATTTAAATGCTGTTACAAACAGTAAACTGAGCCTTTAAATATATATTTTGGTCATTTTCAACTAGAGGTCTGTGTAAAAGTTTTGGACAGTTGATACCTTACCTGTTGTAGACAGCTGTTTGAGTCATTTGAGATGGTTGCAGTGTAACAGGACCATCAGGTTAGTCCCACGACTGCTAACACCAGAGTGAACTGCTCCTGTCTAACACAGCTCAGTGCTAAATGTGACAGTGATGGAAAGGGTTAAATAGCTGTGTTTGCATTAACTGTAACGTTTTAAAGATCTGAGTTGTTTTAAGATGATAATTACTTTAAAAATATATCTGATCAGACATTGATCAAATGTTGGTTAGTCTGAGTGGACCCACTTCCACCGTCACTCCTGTCTGATCTATTTAAAACTTGTTGGCAACAGGTAAGATATTCATTCCTAAATTCCACAGAATTCAATTCAGTTTATTTCTATAGCATCAAATCACAACAAAGTTGTCTCAGGGCACTTTACAGAAACCTTCATATAAAAGCCACTTAGTAAAGTTCTCTGTGTAAGGAATCCAGCAGACAAGTTGAATCTTGGCTTCGTTGCAGAACTGATTTATTTAAAGTTGTTCTAAAAATGAAGACCAAGTCTGCTCTGATGAACAGATGAAATACTACACATGAATCAGTGCTTCAGCTTTACATTTAAATCATATTGTCTTTACGCCCATGAGTACAACGAGAAGTGTAGCTGCTTTCTAATCATTCTTCAGGGACTGAAACTGTAGAAAAAGCTGCTTTTTGTACTGGATAAAAACTGTTGTACATGTGGTGAAGGGGTTTATTTGATGGGAACTTTAAATAACAGTTTGTGTTTCTACAGTGGCCACACGTCAGTGTCTCTGCCTTTTGTTTTATTCTATTACCGGTAAGTGATTATTAGGGGCTAAAGTTTATTACCTTGATTTTATTTTTGGTGTACGTACGGTTCGTTCAGTCACAGCTCTGGTCAGAGACGAACCTTGCCCCTTGGTTTTCTGAGCGAATCCAAATATAAGCCGCCCCCCACTAAAATAAGAATAAGAATTTTGTACATTTATAGGCCGCGCTGTAACATGAGATATTTACACAGAAAGATTTAAAAAACTTTTAATTAAATGCCTACCAGTAACACGGCTGCTTAAAATAAATACCGTCCCCAACAGGAGGTCATTGAACACTACCTTCACCTTCCTCCTGCACAACTTTGTGCTGGCCCCCATCACGCAGCTGCCTTTTGAAACAGGGAGAGGGGAAACTTGGTCCCCCCCAGGGGCACAATGGGGAGGGGAGAACAGGGAGGCTGCCCCCCCCCCCCCCCCTGTTCTCCCCTCCCCATTTCATTGGTCCACTCTGACCTGTTCGGTATCTTCATTGATCAGATTTTTTTACCTTTATTTGTACAGGTAGTCTCATTGAATCAGGAGGACTCGCCCCCCAGGAGAGACGTGTATGGGGCAGCTGTGTGAGCACCCGGGTGTGACGAGGCTAAATGTTTTGGTGGCATGAAGCTCGTTAGCCCGTCAAAAAGAAAATGCATAATTAGCCGCAGCACTGTCGCTGGTTCACCGCGTGTGAAAGTGACGGAGCAATAAAGAGGTCCAGGTTCATTCTGGAGCGTGAAGGAGCTTCATGCTCTGACTCGAAACATCGCTGTCTCATCGCTCGTCCACTTCCTCCCCAAACAGAAACACCCCGTCCAGACTCTGTCCCGTGTGTCGACTCAGAATTTATTGCACTTTAAGACAGAAACTCTCAGAGCAACCCCCCTCCCTGACAGCAGCCGTTCAGGGGCCGTGTCGCTGGCAGCGGGGCCCTCTCACCAAAGGATCAAGCCAGCAGCCTCCTGCTGAACTTCATCAGTCTCAACAAATCGCCTTCTTCTTACTTCTGTGTCATTCTGTCAGGGGAGCTACGAGCTGGTGTTGGGGGGGCAGGTGAAGCGTTTTCATGGAGAACCCTCTCTGTAAAGCGATGTGGTGTGTGCCTTGTTCTCCAGTTGCATTTAATACGTCAAAGATTTAAGAGTAATAATATTATAGGGACTGTTGTATTCATGTTTGTATTTTTGTTTGCCTACATTTTTTCATCACAGTCACATTTGTCTGAAAGAGTTCTGTGATTCTGGTACTGCTTCCAGTCCATCATCTTTGCACCAGGATTCCTTTGGACGTAAATGGGATGAATTTCCACATGTTTGTAAGGTTGCTTCAGACGTACAATCAAACTTTGATAATGTGATGCCTCTAAGAGTTCAGGAATGATCTGAGGTGGTCCTTTTTTAACCTACTTTGCTTACTTTCTTTTTTTTGGGGGGGGGGGAGTCCAAATATCTGCAGTGTTCTTAAACCTCACAGTGACTGTTTGTGCTGAGCTTTTTTTAATTTAGTTTTTGTCCTTAAAACTCAGCTCTGCTCTTGAGCATGGACTTTGTTGGTTCAGCTCTGCTCCGTTTTGGCAATAGGATAAAACTCTGTGTTTAAAGCCACACTTCTGCAGAGGGAGGTGAAGTTGTGACGACTCTGGCTGCAGCTAGTTGGACTCGTATCATCTGTGTTATATCATACTGTGCTCATGTTAATCCGTCTTTTCTTACATGCTAACATACTGTTTTGTTTGAGCAAATAAAATAAAAGTTGCAGTACAAGATGAGCTGTTTTATTGTGCATGAGTTGTGACAGTTTACAACTTTACAGGTTTTCTTGTTTAAGACTGAGTTTTCAGAAGATTTGTGTGTTGCTTTGAAAAAATAAAATGGGTTTGTGGTTTTCCTGCAGGACTGTGTCCCATCTGGCTGTGGCCACATCAGGTCACATCATTCTGAAACTCTGGCACAGCAATTTCCTGCGGGATCAATAAAGTTCTATCTTATCAGGTCGGGCTCTGTTTGTCCCCTCATAGCTTCTCATATTTGCACTTGGTGTGTTAGAACAGGAAGAACAGCCACTGGGGAGCACAAACCAGTGTATCTCTTGTGCTGGTCCCAAGCCAGGGTAAATGGTGGAGATTGTGTCAGGAAGGGGCATCCGACATAAAATACTTGCCAAAACTATAATACAAGTTTATCAAAGCGAAACCATACTAGATTGGTCGAGGCCCGGATTAACCATGACCGCCATCGGTGCTGTTGACAAACAGGGTGTCGGCAGAAATTGTACTACTGTTAGTCAAAGACCACGAGGAAGGAAACATGTCAGGAGGCAGAGGGAGAAGAGGAAAGTCAAGAAAGTAGGACTGAGGGTTGTAACTTTAATGTGGGGACAATGACAGGCAAAGGTAGAGAGCTGGCTGACATGATGCAGAGAAGGAAGGTAGATGTTTTATGTGTCCAAGAGACCAAGTGGAAGGGCAGCATTGGAGCAGGGTTCAAACTATTTTACCATGGTGTGGATAGAAAGAGAAATGGGGTAGGGGTGGTCCTGAAGGAGGAGTTGACAAAGAATGTACTAGAGGTGAAAAGAGTGTCAGATAGGGTGATGTGTCTGAAGGTAGAAGGTCTGATGCTAGATGTTGTCAGTGGTTATGCTTCAGAAGTTGGATGTGATGTGGAGGAGAAAGATCTGGATGAAGTGATAGAGAGTATTCTCAGGGAGGAGAGAGTGGTGATGGGAGCAGTCCTGAATGGGCATGTTGGTGAAGGAAACAGAGGATGAGGAAGTGATGGGTAGGTTTGGTGTCAAGGAAAGAAACCAGGAAGAACAGATGGTGGTGGATTTTACCAAGAGAATGGAAATGGATGTAGTCAACACTTGTTTACAAAAGAAGGAGGAACATAGAGTGACCTATAAGAGTGGAGGGAGGAGTACGCAGGTTGACTACATTCTGTGTAGAAGAGGAAACCTGAGGGAGATTGGAGACTGTAAGGTTGTGGCAGGGGAGAGCGGGGCCAGACAGCATCAGATGGTTGTGTGTAGAATGACTGTTGTTGTGAAGAAGAGAAAAAGAGTCAAATCAGAGAAGAAGACCAAATGGTGGAAAATGAAGAAGGAAGAATGTTGTGAGAAATTCAGAGAGGAGCTATTAAAGGCTCTGGGTGGTAAGAAAGAGCTTCCAGATGACTGGACTGCTACAGCAACAGTAATTAGAAAGACAGGTAGGAAGGTACTTGGTGTGTCATCTGGACAGAATGGATGATAAGGAAACCTGGTGGTGGAATAGTG